GAGTAAAAATGAAAACTGACCCAAATTTTGTCTATTGGCTCTAAAATTAAGGTTCATTTTCAGAAATATTGAAGAATATAATCAAGTGCAGAACAATTTGGACAAGAAAGTTTGGTGGTGAAAAGGTTAATAAACACACATTGATCAAAATTAATTCTAAAATCCCAAATAATATGATCTCTGCTGTTAAAAGTTGATTTTTTCTCTCCATACCACTCTTCCAATAACTTTGGAACATTCAGGCATAATTTATTGCCTTCACAAGTAGATGGAGAGAACACTCATTACAAGAAGAAATGCTGACAAGAATTAATTGACATATTGTCAGATGGATTCTGAGATCAATTGAGCACTTCATATGTGACTGGAGTAAGTGACAAGGACAGTAAGCTAACAGGATGTTAATAGCCTCATGTGTCACTGGAATATTTCAATTTGTGAAGTTGAGTGATTGGTTACGAGGGCAATCGTAATAGCAATTGTAATGGTTGTCAGGAAATGTCCATTTCCTAGGTGAAGGAACTGATTTTAAAAACAAGTCACCGCAAATATTCGAGTAGCAGATGTGGATTAACATTCAGAGTACACTCTCCTTCAGGAACTTGCCTGCAATGAATCAATTTATTTAGATATTGACTGAGAAATCAGTCAAAAATTAGCAAACTAGCAGGGCATCCAAAGCCAAAAACATACAAGAACAATTTTTGACTAATATTCGCATAAATCCCCCCCCCCCAATTACATAAAATAATTTTAATTCAATGTTACATTAAGAAGTACTATTTTGACTACATACCTAATTAGATGTTAAATATTTGCTGTCATTCCAAAGCCAAATAACGCCTTCAACATTTATACAAACCTTTTTTTAGAATAGCACCGCATTCAGTGCACCTGTTTTATCATCAATAAGAACAGGTGTTTTTCAGGGCTAAATCAAACGTTTTGTTATTGCTTGTGTGATTTTGCCCAACAAATACTCTTAATTCTTCATGATAGAACAGTTTGTCTAAACACGAGGCTTTGCTTAAATAGGACTATGATTATTCAGATCAAGATTTAACATCAAATAACACATTGCAGATAATATGTTAATAAGCATGTAAATTCATATGCAAATTAGCTTGGTGCTTTCGTTTCTTACCTGTAGAATCATGTCACCCGGTTCAATTCGACCGTCTGCTGCAACAGCACCCCTGGTAACAAGAAAAAAATCAAAGAAAGCTTAGAAAGAGCTCTTGTGTGCTTAAACTTATCAGGCCTGCGCATTCTCCTATGACATCTATGTACATGTTTCATTGAAATGTGATGATTAGTACTTGAGATATCAGTGGAAAAGCCAAAAATGGACTAATCTTTTTGTAAATTAGGTGATTCATATGCACAGATTTTTATTTAAAACTAATTAAATATGTGCAAAAACCTAGAGAATCTATGTACCAAGTTTTATTGAAATGTAATGAAATAGTGGAAAAGTCAAATATTTGCTAATTATGCAAATTAGGTAATTAATATCCATGGATATTTACCCAAAACTTATCAGGTTTGTGCATTGTCATATGACATCTATGTACGACGATTTATTAATAGAATGAACTTGAAATAACGGTGGAAAAGCCAGAAATGTTCAAATCAAAATGTAAATTAGATAATTAATATGCATGAATTTAACCCAATACCTAATCAATAACGAATTAGCCCAGAGCATCTATTTCATCAAAAACCAACATATGGTACTTGGGATATCAGTGGAACAGTCGGACACACACATACATACACACACATACAAACTAACTGCAAAGACTCCCATTGTGTGCTTCGTACACAGGAGTCAATAAATTAAACATGTACTACGAATTTATGAAGGTAAAATAGCTGTTACAGAATTATGCCCCCCCAATAATATTTAATATAATAATTTTGTTGTGTACATTTCATACCCATTCTTTAATTTACATTGTGTTCGAAAATAAAGTTTCAACATGTGAATACAGGACTCCTTGAATTTAAATTTCAACATAATTGAGAGTGAGAAATTAATATAATCAAATACACATGTTTGAATATGAAGAGAGCGAAGAAAGAAAATTAAATTGAAATAGACTCACCCCTTCATAATAGAACCGACATAAATTCCTCCATCCCCTCCTTTGTTACTTTGTCCTACTATACTTATTCCCAAGAAATTAATTTTATCTGGAAAAAACAAAATTCAACATTCTCAGTGATTCTGAACTATATTATTGATTACACAACTATCAATATCTCTCAGTATGAGATAAATATAGAAACATCTACAAATGGAACTGTGATTTAATATTAAAACAAGCAGCCTATCGGCTGAGATAGCTCCGCTGTTAGAAATGCACATTTCAATTAGAGAATTGAAGATATCATCACAAAATGAACAAATCTGAGAAAGGTCTACATGTAGTATCTAAATATGTAATATCAAAGCAATTGAACTATTGGTTTTTAACAAGAAGTCGAAAATATCACTTTTTACCAAAAATTACAAAAATATTCACGAAAATTAGAGAATTGAAGACATCATCACAAAATGAACAAATCTGAGAGAGGTCCACATGTAGTACCTATATATGTAATATCAAAGCAATCGGACTTGTGGTTTTTAACAAGAAGTCGAAAATATCACTTTTTACCAAAAATTACAAAAATATTCACCAAAATTAGAGAATTGAAGATATCATTACAAAATGAACAAATCTGAGAGAGGTCTACATGTAGTACCTATATATGTAATATCAAAGCAATTGGACTTGCGGTTTTTAACAAGAAGTCGAAAATATCACTTTTTACCAAAAATGATAAAAATATTCACCAAAATTAGAGAATTAAAGATATCATTACAAAATGAACAATTCTGAGAGAAGTCCACATGTAGTACCTATATATGTAATATCAAAGCAATTACACTTGCGGTTTTTAACAAGAAGTCGAAAATATCACTTTTTACCAAAAATGACAAAAATAGTCACCAAAATTAGAGAATTAAAGATATCATTACAAAATGAACAAATCTGAGAGAG